ACAAAGTTTGAATAAAATTAATTAAATAATTAGCTTAATATAATTTTTTTTGTACATACTAAATTTAGTATCTTTGGTCTACGGATACCTATTAAATAATCTGATATAAAAAATTATACATTTGCTTGTATCTTATTGGCTGGCATATAGTTGGTTATCAATTACATGAAACCAACAATTTTAATACATATATAATACCTGACACATTAAATGACAAATAACCTGGTATCATTTGAGTCATTTGGTCATTTAGAATCAAATAACTAGTAATTTCTCAACGCTGCACCATACTGATATTCTGTAATCCCAAAATTAATATTAAATTATCAGTAACATGTTTTTTATATCCGAAATTTTACTATATGATTTTTGTAAATGATATATTCTTGAGTTTATCTCCCAAAGCCTTAGTCAAAATATACAACAGTATAAAAGATATACCATATATTGCCGAAAATAAGCTACCTTTTTTGGCCAAAAAAGTGACACAAAAATCCTGGGGGTAGCTTATTTTCGGGTAAAATTTCGAAAAAGTTAATTTTTATTATTTCTTTAAAATCTGGAGGTAGTTTCTATATATAAAGGTCAAACTTCTACTAAGTAAATCGATGAAAATCACTTAATAGCGGTTGTTCAGGATGTAAAAATACACATATTCTGAAAGTTTTAAGCAAATCGGAGAACGTTTTACTAAGATATTTTTGCATTTTACGTTTGAACGTAAAATGCAAAAACATCTTAGTAAAAATTCTTCGATTTGCTTAAAACTTTCAGAATATGTGTATTTTTACGTCCTGAACAATTACTATTAAGTGATTTTCATCGATTTACTTAATAGAATTTTGACTTTTATATATAGAAACTACTTCTAGATTTTAAGAAATTATCAGGGGTAGCTTATTTTCGGAATTACAAATTTTCCTATGTTTCTTCTCCAAGAAAAAAGGTGGTAGCTTATTTTCAGAGGTAGCTTATTTTCGGCAATATACGGTAGCAATAAACTTTTTCTTGTGGAATTTTGCGCCTTTGAGAGCAGGTAATTATTTTACTTACTTTCTTAGGTTTGTGAACTCTTGATATAAAAAGTGATTGATTAGATGTACCGAAGTAAGAGATTTTACCAAAATGTATGCATGAAGTTCTGTGAATTATAAATGTAATAGAGAAAATCAAGAAAAACTATTTCCTAATAAGTAGATTTCTTATTAATTCAACACTCTCACATTATTCTTGCTCACAAAGATATTTTTTAAGCAGTTCTGATATTTTATTATACAGATTTATTAATTAAAGCTATTCTTAAGCATCTAAATCAATTGATCAGATAATAACCATGATGACACTTAAGCACCACAATTGATAACAATATTTATAGAATTAAATACTTGAGCACACTTGTTCTGTTTTTTATAATGTTCACTATACTATCTAAAAACTCTAATGAAAAAACCTTCTTTTCGATTAACTATTAAAGTTTCAACTTTAGCAATATTGGCTTCTTTTTTTAATGATTTTTCAATTTAAATTTCTTACTATTCATCAAATATGAAAAAATATTTACCTCAACCTTTCGGTTAAAGATTAAAAGATAGTTATATTATTAAACTCATATTAATATATCAATTATTTGTTTTAAAAGCTTCGAACATTAAAAAAAAAGTGGCTATCTTTTTAAAGCGGTTAGAAATCTGTCAAGAATCAATTATTTATTATGTTTGATATATAAAAAATGTAAAAGTAATGCTTGAGCGACCTCTATCTAGTAGATTAGTAATAGCATAAAAGAAGGTAATTACATGGTGTAGATTCGATATATAATTGGCTATCAATATCACATAATAAAATCCTGATTATAATTAGCTAACAGGCAAAATTATCAATACAATACTATAATCATGTATTAATAAATGCAAGAAGTTGATATAATATATGCAAATATGTATATATACAGCACATATGTACAAATAAATATTTATTCACATAATTGTGTAGCTAACATAGTTAATAAAAGTCATAATTTATGGTAAAAATCAATACTTTTTAATAAAATAATAATAAAACTGGTTTTTTTTATGACAAACTCTCTCCGGTTCATCACCAGATCTTAAGAAATAAACAAAATAACAACAAAAAAAGTAGTTTCTGCCCCCCAAAATATAAGACAAAGAGCCCTAGCCCTTATACCAAAGAAAAGAAAGCTTCTTGAAATAAATATAGACAAAGCCACAAAGAGAACCAAGACTCAGATACTAGACCTGCAGAAAAAACCTTTGAATTTTCCTTTAAACTTGATAAGACAAAAAAGAAAATCCTCTCAGATGCCGACACTATTAGAGTCTGTAATACTAATAGCAGCAATATAAACTAGGTAGATTCAGTAGAAGCCAATATGGCAACAGAAGAATTTATCACCAAAACTAACAGTAACACTCCTCAAAGTGAGGAAAACAAAGACACAGACAAAACTCTAAATATGAAGGCCAATAATGAAACATGTCTAAATGAAACAACAGATATAAACAAACAAGCAGAAACAAACCACATGTCTCCACATGACAAAGCACTAACCAGTGACGAAATAGGCTTAGCACAAATACTCAACCCTCCTCAAGGCATTTTATAAACAAATGATAGCATTAGTACAGCTCTAGATACAGAACAAAATAAATTTACAGGAACCAATACCAGAATCAAACAATGGTCTGAGATTTTCCCAAAATTAAAAGAGGGTAAAGCTACCTTTGTAAACAGTGGCCCTAGACATAAGCTATACTCAAAAAATGAAAATGCGCTTATCTTTGATATTCAAGCACTCGAAAATATTACAATCAACAAAATCATTCTTGCAATCTACACCAAATTTGGGTCTGAAATCCTAGCTGTAAAATTTCATCTATCAAGAGAAAAGCGCACTCAGCTAGAAATTGCCTTTAAAAACAAGGAAGCACAACAAAAATATGCTGCAACATATTTAAACAAGCATTAATAGAATACGTACCCATTAATCTCAAACACACCTTTCTGTCTGTCAAAATCACTAACGCACCTATGGGAGATAGAATCTCCACTAATCTACAAATTAAGGAAGCTTTTCAAGACATTGGCACAATCGCTTCCATCAAACTTCTACTTTTTGAAGGCACAACAATAGCCTCAGACCAATGGATTATTATATTCGAAAACAACTAATGATACAGATGTCACTTCAAGAATTCCCAGATATACACACGTGGGGGACTACAAAGTAGCAACAAGCTGGAAAAAAGCACCCAAAGTTTGCTACTTTTGTGAAAAGGAGGACCATATTAAAAAAGACTGTAAAGAGCTTAAACTCTCTATAGAATTCAAACAAAAACAAAAAGAACACAAACTTTTTAGAGAAAAAAGCTTGGTAGCACCAAGTACTGATAAGCCTAACTCACAAATCAACCTTAGCCCAAATAATCCATACAATGCAAATATGATTGTAGACTCCCTAGAACCATCTACAAGCAACAAAGTAGAAAAGACGAACACTGCTAATCAAAAATCAAAGCCTCAAGAAATGACTCCGAACAAAACCAGCTTAATCAATGAAGCAAACTCCTCAGAAATGCACTCAGAAGGAAGCACAGAAAATAACAATACAAACATCACACTAATAACATCCCCAGTTTACAAAACTCTAGAAGCGAACACTTCAAAAAGAGCTGAAGAAGAATTCACATTAGTTACTTCCAAGAAAAAAAATGCTAAGAACAAAGAAAAAAGAAAAACTACTCTAGACAACAACACTTTAGATGTAATAGATGCTGGGAACTCATACGTTCCTAACCTCTAAATTTCAATACGACAAACAACAATGTGTGGCTAACCATCTCTTCTGCTATTATCTTATGATCAAAATCGCCACACTCAATATTAAGGGCCTAAACAACAAATTAAAGGCCCAAAAATTACTAACGCTCCTAAAATCATACTACCTAGATGTAATTCTCCTCCAAGAAACAAATCTAAACGACAATTCTCTAAGAAAATTCTTGGCACAACAATGGGGGTTATAACTTTGTCTAGACAACAAAAACAGCTATCCTTGCAGGAAAACCAAACATCAAACTTGAAAAAATTGAAATCTCACATAATGACAGAGTTATCTTAGCTAAATTCAATTTTAAGCACACCTCCTACCTAATTACCAATGTCTATGCTCCCCCTAGTATGGAAGAAAGGTGTTTATTTTTCAGAAACTAGTCTTTACCAGAAGAAGCAGACAGGTTTCACATTATTGCAGGGGATTTTAACACTAATCTTAACCTCAAGATAAACAGAAAGAGTCAAGCAGCACTACAAAGAGACCTATTAAAAGACCTACTTCAAAATATTGTCAGAAATTACATTGATACAGCAGAGTTCTCCAATAACAAACCATTCTTCACCTTCTATCAAAACACTCATAGCAGCCAAACGATAGCCACCCGACTAGATTATATTTTTATTAGCACAAACCTTGGGATCTTGAAGTTTAATACACTCACACGCTTTGGTAACTCAGACCACCTACTAGTAGAAAGCTCGATTTACCTTAAGCCAAAATCAAAGTGCTCACCTCTTTGGAAATTTAACAGAAGCTACTGGAACAACCCAGATCTAAGAACAGAAATCAGCACAGAAATAGAAAATTTTTCAAACATACAGGAGTAGGACATGCTTAAATGCAATATTCAGTTAATACTTAGATCAGCCAAGCCTACTCCACCTCCAGAGAGTAACATACAAAAACTGCACAAAAAACTCAATTAAATTAAAACAAGAATGGTTGAAAACCCCATGCAAGAAGATCTCTATCTAATTGCAGAACATATCAAATCCCAAATACAGGAAGAACTTTTCTTACTCTCAGAGAAATGACAGATTAGATTCAATGCCAAATGGGTCGAAAATGGTGAAATATCCACAAGATACTTCTTTTCTCTGTACAAGACCAAACACAGCATCACTTGCACTAGCCACATTCAAAACCCAGAATATCCAATTTCTCAAGAACCGCTAGACACTCTTGAATATATTAAAGACTGCTACCAGAATATCTATAGAGAAGAAAGCTGTAATACAAAAGCAGCAGCATATATAACCAAAAATCTTCTGCAGGTGACCCAGAAACAAAACAATGAACTAATTAAACCAATCAGCGAAGAAGAAATCATCAATATAATCAACACTCTTCTTAACAATAAGGCACCAGGTGCAGATGGTCTCACTTATGAATTCTATAAAGACTTGAAAGAAAGCTTGGTATCTATCCTGTGTAGACTATTTAATGTGGCTCCAAATACTGGAACAATGCCATTATCATGGGGAAAAAGTATTGTTATGCTGATCTCCAAAAAATCAGACGACCTCAGAAACATAAACAACTGGAGACCTATATCTTTAGTTAACAGCGACACAAAAATTTTTATGAAAATACTAGCCACACGTATCAACCCTATTTGCCAAACAATTATTAGCCCTACACAACAAGCCTTTATCGCCAGAAGGTCGATTACAAACTCAGCTTTAGACATTCTAACAGTATTAAGAAATCAAAACAATCAAACAAAACAGTATTGATTATTTCTTATTGACCAACAGAAAGCTTTTAACAGAGTCAACCACTCCTATCTAAAATTAGTTCTGGAAAGGATGAGCTTCGACAATAGGTTTATAGCAGTAGTTAATAATCTATTTGTATCACAACAAGCTCATATTTTAGACAATGGTATACTATCAGAACCTTTTAGGATTAACAGGAGCATTAGACAAGGCAACCCACTGTCACTACTCCTTTATGTCCTAGCCTTTGACCCACTCCTTCAAATACTACACAATAATATACAAGGCATCCAGGTCTCTAGTAATACTTTTAAGCTAGCGGCATATGCTGATGACCTCATAGTTGGAATTAGCTCTATCACAAACTGGAATCAACTTCTAAACATAATTCAAAAATATGAGGAAGCATCAAATGCCAAAATAAATAGAACCAAATCAACTATAGTCTCTCTTACTATAAATGCACAAAGAGTACAACTCCCAGTTATGAGTGACTTCCAAACTCATCCTGAAGACAAAAACCTTAAAATATTGGGATATGAGTCAGATAATAAGGGCAATCCCTCAAGAGACCTCTGGCCTAAAATGACAAAAAAAATCAAAAAACATGTCGATTTTTTTTTATCAAGAAACCTATCATTCAAAGGAAAGATTCTGGTAGCCAAAACCCTCCTTCTGTCTAAAATCTGGTACTTGGCCTACCTATTATCACCCAGTAAAAAACAATTAAATGAAATCGATATAATAATTAAAACCTGAATAAAAGGCAAATCCAAAATGCTTCACCGCTTCTTTACATTCCAACTAGACCAGGAAAGAGGGTGTTTACTTGCGCCAATCCTAAAAGATATGCTAGACTTTCGACTTATCTCAATATGGATTAAACTTCTTACAAAGGAATCATTTTGGGCCAAAATGGAAAGAGAAATAATTACTAAAGAACTACGAAATAAAAGAAATAGCTTAGTAATACAAACCCTAAAAGAAAACCCAATTAAACTTAAAGGTTGGCCAGAAAGATGGAGGGTGTATCTAAAAGCATGGAAAAGAGCCAAGTGTACAGTTATCGAGAATACTCTCTGGCCCTGGTCACTAGACAAACTAAAAGTCAGAAACACTCTAGCAACAGAATCCTCAGTAAAGAGCATATCAGAAACGCTTCGCAAAGAACTAATAGCCACTTCCGACTTTGCTGTTCCGGATTAGAACCCTCAAGTATTAGACCACTCAATATGGCTTAACACCAAACATGTCCAAAACAAAAAAAAAGGATATCCTTTGGCGATTAATACACAGGGCTCTTCTACTAGGCTATCGCCTCGATCATATTCTAAAAAACATAGACACCAACTGCCCGGCATGCCTTACACCACTCAGACAATAGAACATTTTGCACTAAAGTGCAAGATAAGCCAAACAATATGGAGGCAAGGATACAGACATCTACGCAACCACTCAGAAGCCTCTATTCCTACCTCTTTGCAAGAAATTTCCTCAGCAAACAACTTTAAAAATCACAAAGAACGTAAGGTAGCTCTGTGGCTACATATCAATATAGTTTACGAAATCTGATGTTGGTATACACAATCCAGATGGGGGAAAAACAATCTACCAGAATGTGTAGCAGCCAACATAGTAAATATTAAAATTAGAAAAGAACTCACCATTTTCCAAAGGATACAGCAGAATGGGACAACATCCGCTTTACTTAAAAATATTCTTAAAATTGTAAAACTTCCTAATAACTGTATATAATATTTAATAGTTAAAATAATAAAATACTCTTAACTGCGATTAAAAAAAAAACAAAAAAAAAAACTGGTTTTTATATAAGTTTATATCTAGTTATGGTTGTACTTTCTAAATAATAATTAGTGCACTAAGAATAAAACTTTAAAGAAAAAAAAAAGTGAAACTTCATGACTGCTATAGCCACATATTGGCTCTAGACTAAGTCTAAAGTTACAAGCAGTGTTTAAAATTCAATGCTCTCAATGTTTTCAATAAACATTCAATTTTTTTTAAGAATATTAATATTAAAAATAGTGTTTTCTTATTTAAGAATATTTTGTTCTTTTAAAATATTCTCAAAGAGAATATTTATAAAATTTTATATTCTTAATTTTATTAATGAGAACAGTAAATTATATAAAATGTTCTAATTTTAATATAAATTTTTGCTTATCAGTTTTCAATCATGATACATACCTATGTACTATACATATATATATATATATATATATATATATATATTATATATATTTAAAGTTTATGCAATAAGTAGCTGTACAACATTGTTATAAATATAAGTTTCATATAGAAAAAATGGTAGACAACTCCAATACAGAATAGTTATATAAGTTATAGTTTTAAAATTCAGATAAATAAATGTGGCAGCTTATGCTGAGATTGGCTTATACTGAAAATTTAAGTTATTTTATTATAAAATTATAAAATTTTAGAAGGCTTTTTCAGGGGTGTTTGTTTATATAGTTTTTTTTAGGGTTTAGGGTTAGGTTTATTAATAAAAGTATATTTGTGGATTTTAGTAGGTATTATAGATTTAAATAGAGACCCTGGATCTTAGCATAAGCCAATTTCAGCATAAGCCGCCACAATAAATATTGGGTATACAATTAAATATAGTATAACTATATTGATATTAAATGCTATAATTTAAACAAACAAAAAATTTTATAAGTATAGAATATAAAATATCTCTTTAAAAACATATTATAACAATTTATTACAATTTTCTAATACATAACACTAGAACAAATATTAAAAATAGGGTATTTTTAATATCTATACTGGTATTATATATTTTTAGAGATAGTAATAGTGGATTAGTATACTATGCTTTTTAAATAAATATTGTCATACTCTATACTTTATATATCTAAAATTTTATATCATTTCTGTTTGTTTAAATTGTTTAATTATAGTGTCTTATATCAATACAGTTATACTGTATTTAGTTGTATATCTAATATTTATTTATCCGAATACAAAGTTATATATAACTATTCTGTATTATATTTATCTGTTTCTGGTTTAGTGCAACAATATTATGCTGCTACTTATTTTAATTATTAAATAATTTAATTTAAAAAAACTAACTTTCTAATTGGTATAACACTTTATATTAGAATTTTTTAAAAAAACCTAGTTTTATATATAAAGATAGCTGCTAGATATTTTTTAAAATTTAGTA